TCTTCAGAGCTTGTGCATCTCCATGAGCTGGCCTCCATCTTGGTTTTCTGCAAAGCATGGTGGGAACCTTTATGCCTTCAGGCTTCTGCGGCTCCTCCTCAGAAGGGTGTGGTTGAGCACATTTAAACCTGCTGTCTGCAAGTGTGTTCTGCACTTGTGTCCTGTATGTTGCCCTGTTGCAAGCTCTTGTGTTGTTCCCATTGCTCTCCTGGTAACCGACTCGGCTTGGACAAGACTACTCTCTGCGTTAACCCTTTATCTGACCTCCCGTTGTTGAACCCGGCCCGTGACCTGAGTATTCTTTGCCTACCGTCTAGTACTGTCTGCTCCATTGTTATTGACCCGGCTTGTCTGACTACTCTACTCGTGATCCCATCTAGCTCCCACCAGCTGTACGCCATTGGCGGCAGTCGTTATCGCAGCTGGGCTCACTCGGGGGCCGCGACCTGGTCTCAGCTGCGTCAAGTCCATCCCCACCATCAGGGGCCCTGGTGAAGGGTAGTCGATAACGACTGCCGCCAATGGCGTACAGCCGGCTTGTCTGACTACTCTACTCGTGATCCCATCTAGCTCCCACCAGCTGTACGCCATTGGCGGCAGTCGTTAGTCGGGGATCACGAGTAGAGTAGTCAGACAAGCCGGGTCAATAACAATGGAGCAGACAGTACTAGACGGTAGGCAAAGAATACTCAGGTCACGGGCCGGGTTCAACAACGGGAGGTCAGATAAAGGGTTAACGCAGAGAGTAGTCTTGTCCAAGCCGAGTCGGTTACCAGGAGAGCAATGGGAACAACACAAGAGCTTGCAACAGGGCAACATACAGGACACAAGTGCAGAGCACACTTGCAGACAGCAGGTTTAAATGTGCTCAACCACACCCTTCTGAGGAGGAGCCGCAGAAGCCTGAAGGCATAAAGGTTCCCACCATGCTTTGCAGAAAACCAAGATGGAGGCCAGCTCATGGAGATGCACAAGCTCTGAAGAAAGGTAGGACCTTGACAGGGACACAGAATTGTTACTCAGGGACAGACACAGAATTGTTACTGAGGGACACAGAATTGTTACTCAGGGAGAGACACAGAATTGTTACTCAGGGACACAGAATTGTTACTCAGGGACACAGAATTGTTACTCAGGGACACAGAATTGTTACTGAGGGACAGACACAGAATTGTTACTGAGGGACACAGAATTGTTACTGAGGGACACAGAATTGTTACTCAGGGACACAGAATTGTTACTGAGGGACACAGAATTGTTACTCAGGGACACAGAATTGTTACTCAGGGACACAGAATTGTTACTCAGGGACAGACACAGAATTGTTACTCAGGGACACAGAATTGTTACTGAGGGACACAGAATTGTTACTCAGGGACAGACACAGAATTGTTACTCAGGGACACAGAATTGTTACTCAGGGACACAGAATTGTTACTCAGGGACAGACACAGAATTGTTACTCAGGGACACAGAATTGTTACTCAGGGACACATAATTGTTACTGAGGGACACAGAATTGTTACTCAGGGACACAGAATTGTTACTCAGGGACACAGAATTGTTACTGAGGGACAGACACAGAATTGTTAATGAGGGACACAGAATTGTTACTGAGGGACACAGAATTGTTACTCAGGGACACAGAATTATTACTCAGGGACACAGAATTGTTACTGAGGGACACAAAATTGTTACTCAGGGACAGACACAGAATTGTTACTCAGGGACACAGAATTGTTACTCAGGGGACACAGAATTGTTACTGAGGGACAAAGAATTGTTACTCAGGGACACAGAATTGTTACTCAGGGACACAGAATTGTTACTCAGGGACACAGAATTGTTACTGAGGGACACAGAATTGTTACTCAGGGACACAGAATTGTTACTCAGGGACAGACACAGAATTGTTACTCAGGGACACAGAATTGTTAGTCAGGACACAGAATTGTTACTGAGGGACACAGAATTGTTACTCATGGGTACACAGAATTGTTACTCAGGGACATGAATTGTTACTCAGGACAGACACAGAATTGTTACTGAGGGACACAGAATTGTTACTGAGGTACACAGAATTGTTACTCAGGGACACAGAATTGTTACTGAGGACACAGAATTGTTACTCAGGGACCCAGAATTGTTACTCAGGGACAGACACAGAATTGTTACTCAGGGACACAGAATGCTGTTACTCAGGGACACAGAATTGTTACTGAGGGACACAGAATCGTTACTGAGGGACACAGAATTGTTACTCAGGGACACAGAATTGTTGTACTCAGGGACACAGAATTGTTACTGAGGGACACAGAATCGTTACAGAGGGACACAGAATTGTTACTGAGGGACACAGAATTGTTACTCAGGGGACACAGATTATTACTCAGGTGACACAGAATTGTTACTGAGGGACACAAAATTGTTACTCAGGGACAGACACAGAATTGTTACTCAGGGACACAGAATTTTGTTACTCAGGGACACAGAATTGTTACTGAGGGACAAAGAATTGTTACTCAGGGGACACAGAATTGTTACTCAGGGACAGACACAGAATTGTTACTCAGGACACAGAATTGTTACTCAGGGGACACAGAATGTGTACAGAGGGACGGCCACAGAATTGTTGCTGACTCAGGGACACAGAATTGTTACTCAGGGACAGACACAGAATTGTTACTCAGGGACACAGAATTGTTAGTCAGGGACACAGAATTGTTACTGAGGGACACAGAATTGTTACTACTCAGGGACACAGAATTGTTACTCAGGGACATAGAATTGTTCATCAGGGACAGACACAGAATTGTTACTGAGGGACACAGAATTGTTACTGAGGGACACAGAATTGTTACTCAGGGACACAGAAATTGTTACTGAGGACACAGAATTGTTTGTACTCAGGGTGACACAGAATTGTTACTCAGGGACAGACACAGAATTGTTACTCAGGGGACACAGAATTGTTACTCAGGGACACAGAATTGTTACTGAGGGACACAGAATCGTTACTGAGGTACACAGAATTGTTACTCAGGGGACACAGAATTGTTACTCAGGGACACAGAATTGTTACTGAGGGACACAGAATCGTTACTGAGGACACAGAATTGTTACTCAGGGACACAGAATTGTTGAATTTAAAGAGTATGTCAGACAACACGCAGAGGAGTGGCAGAGGAGGCAATGTTTCTGTGTGTTCCCCACTGTACAGTGGGGAAGAGCTAACAGAGGGCGGTCAGGAACGGGGGGACATCCGCCCCTCTTCAGCAGCCAGGCGAAGAAGTACTGGCGAGGAGAGTGGCTCGGTAGCCGCCGGTCCCAGAGACAGGTCTGTCTCCTGACCCACACGCAGCCGAGGGGGCTAGTATGAGGCGGAGACCCTAATTGATGATGATGAGCTGATCGCACTTGGCAGCCTCGTCGTCATCTGCCAGGCCCCGTAATCTGCCATGGGGCCCCCGTACCGACTCCTCATGCTGCTGCCAGGCCCGTAATCTGTCATGGGCCCCTGTACCGCCTCCTCATGCTGCTGCCAGGTCCACGTGTGTCATGGGTCGCTGTACGGCCTCCCATTGCTGCTGTCTCCATCGCCACACTCTGCCATGTGCCACTTTCAGGTCTCCTCACACTGCTGGTGGGTTCCATTTTGTCATAGGGTGCTGGCAGATTACGGGCCCCCATTGCTGCTGCCAGGCCCGTAATCTGTCATGGGCCCCTGTACCGCCTCCTGCTGTCTAGCCAGGTCCGCCATGCATCGAGGTCTGCTGCCAGGTCCAGAGTGTGTCATGGGTCCCTTGTACCGCCTCCTCATGCTGCTGCCAGGTCCAGAGTGTGTCCCATAATCTGCCATGGGCCCCCGTACCGCCTCCTCATGCTGACTGCTGCCAGGTCAGAGTGTCTCGATGGGTCCCTGTACGGCCTCCCATTGCTGCTGTCTCCATCGCCACACTCTGCCATGTGCCACTTTCAGGTCTCCTCACACTGCTGGTGGGTTCCATTTTGTCATAGGGTGCTGTATGGGGCCTCCCATTGCTGCTGCAGCCTCCACCGCCACACACTGTGGCTCCCACTCTGGTTTTTAGGCCCCGTGACTGCCCAAATGAGTGAAGTGTGCGGTGATTTTAAGATCGACGGCACTCATCTGCATGTCATACTGACTGACAGTATTATTTCTCTTCCCCACAGCAGACTCCAAGGGCATTTAAATTAAAGGTACAGTGTTTCGTGCACTAATATAAAGGCTCTCTGAAGCCTAGAAACACCCTTTTTTATAAGTTAAATTCGCAGCGAATATATTCGACTCGAATCGAATTTATTCCGAGAATTCGCCGAATCAGCCGAATCTAATTTTTGAATACTTTACTCATCATCTCCAATGGTAATGTATCCATTGTGGTAGACAAAGCAAATGTGCACTCTGTGGAAGGAAACACAGGCACACTGCTGGTGGGTTCCATTTTGTCATAGGGTGCTGGCAGATTAACGGACCTCCCATTGCTGCTGCCAGGCCCGTAATCTGTCATGGGCCCTGTACCGCCTCCTCATGCTGCTGCCAGGTCCAGAGTGTGTCATGGGTCCCTGTACCGCCTCCTCATGCTGCTGCCAGGTCCAGAGTGTTCCCATGGGTCCCTGTACGCCTCCCATTGCTGCTGTCTCCATCACCACACTCTGCCATTTTGCCACTTTCAGTCTCCTCACACTGCTGGTGGGTTCCATTTTGTCATAGGGTGCTGGCAGATTACGGGCCTCCCCATGCTGCTGCCAGGCCCAATCTGTCATGGGCCCCTGTACCGCCTCCTCATTGGCTGCTGCCAGGTCCAGAGTGTGTCATGGGTCGCTGTACGGCCTCCCATTGCTGCTGTCTCCATCGCCACACACTGCTGCCATGTGCCACTTTCAGGTCTCCTCACACTGCAGGTGGGTTCCATTTTGTCATAGGGTGCTGGCAGATTACGGGCCTCCCATTGCTGCTGCCAGGCCCGTAATCTGTCATGGGCCCCTGTACCGCCTCCTCATGCTGCTGCCAGGTCCAGAGTGTGTCATGGGTCCCTGTACCGCCTCCTCATGCTGCTGCCAGGTCCAGAGTGTCCCATGGGTCCCTGTACGGCCTCCCATTGCTGCTGTCTCCATCACCACACTCTGCCATTTGCCACTTTTCAGGTCTCCTCACACTGCTGGTGGGTTCCATTTTGTCATAGGGTGCTGGCAGATTAACGGGCCTTCCCCATTGCTGCTGCCAGGCCCGTAATCTGTCATGGGCCCTGTACCGCCTCCTCATGCTGCTGCCAGTAGGTCCAGAGTGTGTCATGGGTCCCTGTACGGCCTCCCATTGCTGCTGTCTCCATCGCCACACTCTGCCATGTGCCACTTTATCAGGTCTCCTCACACTGCTGGTGGGTTCCATTTTTGTCATAGGGTGCTAGCAGATTACGGGCCTCCCATTGCTGCTGCCAGGCCCGTAATCTGTCATGGGCCCCTGTACCGCCTCCTCATGCTGCTGCCAGGTCCAGAGTGTGTCATGGGTCCCTGTACCCCTCAAAGCCTCCTCATGCTGCTGCCAGGTCCAGAGTGTCCCATGGGTCCCCTGTACGGCCTCCCATTGCTGCTGTCTCCATCACCACACTCTGCCATGTGCCACTTTCAGGTCTCCTCACACTGCTGGTGGGTTCCATTTTGTCATATGGGGCTGCTGGCAGATTAGGGCCTCCCATTGCTGCTGCCAGGCCCGTAATCTGTCATGGGCCCCTGTACCGCCTCCTCATGCTGCTGCCAGGTCCATAGGAGTGTGTCATGGGTCCCTGTACCTCCTCCTCATGCTGCTGCCAGGTCCAGAGTGTCCCCATGGTTGTCCCTGTACGGCCTCCCATTGCTGCTGTCTCCATCACCACACTCTGCCATGTGCCACTTTCAGGTCTCCTCACACGCTGGTGGGTTCCATTTGTCATAGGGTTGCTGGCAGATTACGGGCCTCCCATTGCTGCTGCCAGGCCCGTAATCTGCCATGGGTCCCCGTACCGACTCCTCATGCTGTGACGTTGCAACAAGGTGGAATTCAACCCTACATATGTTAGACCGCCTTTACAAACAGCGAAAGGCCATCACCGATTTCCTGATGTTACAAGCGGATAAAGGTACTCCCCTGTGTAACTTAGATGTCAGCCATTGGCAGCTTATGCGTGACACCTGACGCTTGCTCAGGCCCTTTGAGGAGGCCACGCTATTCGTGAGTCGGCAGGACTATGGGATGAACGACGTCATTCCTCTGTTGCACGTCCTGGAACAAATGCTGTTAACAATGGCTGGTCAGGGTGCGGTAGACGTGGCGCACAGATCTCAACGCCACATGACCCCTGTGGGGGCAGGACAGGAAGAAGAGGAGGAGGTAGAGGAGGACATTGGTGCTCAGGAATTATTGAGTGAAATGGGTGGTTTTTCCACTCAGCAGACAGGAGTGGAGGAGCAGGAGCATCTGGTAGAGGAGGAGGAGGAGACAGAGGACCCAGACGCACCGTGGCAGTATGCTGTGGAGATGGAGGCAGGGAGTCCCTCGCATTCCTTGGCACAAATGGCCCATAGCATGCTCGTTTGCTTGCGTAGCGACAGCCAAATAATAACCATCAGACAGAGGGATGACTTTTGGCTGTCCACCTTGTTGGACCCACGCTACCCGTTCAAAAATGGTGGCCTTTTTCACACCTGCTGAGAGGGAGGCCAAAATAACGTACTATAAAAACCACCTATGTAGTCAGTTGGTCTCTGCCTTTCTGCGCCAATGTCCATCCTCAGACACTGTGGGCCCTGTGCGCTCGCGTTCCGCTGCCATGGCAGCAGGGGAGGGGTGGGATGGTAGGAGCAGTGGCAGCTCCACCAGCAGCGGCTGCCTCAGTCTGCAGTCGATGATGAGTAGCTTTCTTCACCAGCGCAGTGAGGAAACTACTAACCAGCCGCAGCAGCAGCAGCATCAGGTGGACCTGGAGCAGGACCTCAAACAACAGGCTTGGCCCTACTTGGACAGCACCCTGCCAACCGAGGTAGACAATCCCCTTGACTACTGGGCAACGAAACTTGACCTTTGGCCCCAACTAGCTGAATTTGCCCTTGAAAGGCTGTCATGCCCGGCCAGTAGCGTGGCATCGGAGCGCGTGTTTAGTGCGGCAGGAGGTATTGTAACTCCGCGGAGGACACGACTGTCCACCCAAAGTGTGGAGAGACTCACATTTGTGAAAATGAATCAGGCGTGGATTAGTCTGGATTTCAAACCACCATTCCTGACACAACTGACTAAATCCGCCATGAATCATGCCCCAAACATGTTATTATTATTTTTAACATAGGCCTCTGTATGGCCTTCAATTTAAGCTGCTTACGCTTCGCCACTCTGCCATGGGCCCCTGTACCGCCTCCTCTTGCTGCTGCCAGGTCCAGAGTGTCTCATGGGTCCCTGTACGGCCTCCCATTGCTGCTGTCTCCATCGCCACACTCTGCCATGTGCCACTTTCAGGTCTCCTCACACTGCTGGTGGGTTCCATTTTGTCATAGGGTGCTGGCAGATTACGGGCCTCCCATTGCTGCTGCCAGGCCCGTAATCTGTCATGGGCCCCTGTACCGCCTCCTCATGCTTCTGCCAGGTCCAGAGTGTGTCATGGGTCCCTGTACCCCGCCTCTTCATGCTGCTGCCAGGTCCAGAGTGTCTCATGGGTCCCTGTACGGCCTCCCATTGCTGCTGTCTCCATCGCCACACTCTGCCATGTGCCACTTTCAGGTCTCCTCACACTGCTGGTGGGTTCCATTTTGTCATAGGGTGCTGGCAGATTACGGGCCTCCCATTGCTGCTGCCAGGCCCGTAATCTGCCATGGGCCCCCGTACCGCCTCCTCATGCTGCTGCCAGGTCCAGTGTGTCTCATGGGTCCCTGTACGGCCTCCCATTGCTGCTGTCTCCATCGCCACACTCTGCCATGTGCCACTTTCAGGTCTCCTCATACTGCTGGTGGGTTCCATTTTGTCATAGGGTGCTGGCAGATTACGGGCCTCCCATTGCTGCTGCCAGGCCCGTAATCTGCCATGGGCCCCCGTACCGCCTCCTCTTGCTGCTGCCAGGTCCAGAGTGTCTCATGGGTCCCTGTACGGCCTCCCATTGCTGCTGTCTCCATCGCCACACTCTGCCATGTGCCACTTTCAGGTCTCCTCACACTGCTGGTGGGTTCCATTTTGTCATAGGGTGCTGGCAGATTACGGGCCTCCCATTGCTGCTGCCAGGCCCGTAATCTGCCATGGGCCCCCGTACCTCCTCCTCATGCTGCTGCTGCCAGGTCCAGAGTGTCTCATGGGTCCCTGTACGGCCTCCCATTGCTGCTGTCTCCATCGCCACACTCTGCCATGTGCCACTTTCAGGTCTCCTCACACTGCTGGTGGGTTCCATTTTGTCATAGGGTGCTGGCAGATTACGGGCCTCCCATTGCTGCTGCCAGGCCCGTAATCTGCCATGGGCCCCCGTACCGCCTCCTCCTCATGCTGCTGCCAGGTCCAGAGTGTCTCATGGGTCCCTGTACGGCCTCCCATTGCTGCTGTCTCCATCGCCACACTCTGCCATGTGCCACTTTCAGGTCTCCTCACACTGCTGGTGGGTTCCATTTTGTCATAGGGTGCTGTATGGCCTCCCATTGCTGCTGCCTCCACCGCCACACTGTGGCTCCACACTCTGGTTTTGGCCCCGTGACTGCCCAAATGAGTGAAGTCTGCGGTGATTTTAAGATCGACGGCACTCATCTGCATGTCATACTGACTGACAGTATTATTTCTCTTCCCCAGCAGACTCCAAGGGCATTTAAATTAAAGGTACAGTGTTCTGCACTAATATAAAGGCTCTCTGAAGCCTAGAAACACCCTTTTTATAAGTTAAATTCGCAGCGAATATATTCGACTCGAATCAAATTTATTCCGTGAATTCGCCGAATCAGCCGAATCTAATTTTTGAATACTTCGCTCATCTCCAATGGTAATGTATCCAGTGGTAGACAAAGCAAATGGCACTCTGTGAAGGAACAATTTTTGCCCCCCTCCCATGCATTTACTGGTCCAGTACCTACATGTATTCACTATGTAGAGATAGCATGATAGATGCAGACTTTGAAATGCTCTGAACCCACTCCCAATACATAAAATGGAATTGGGGTCAGAGCCAATCCACCACTGATAAAAATGCTGTAAAAAGAAATTTGTAATAAAAAAAGGTATCAGTTCTGACAGCACTTGGGAAATACAAACTTATCAGTTCTGACAGCACTTGGGTAATACAAACCAGGAACATGGGTAGAGCATCATGAAAAATGCCACCAACTTCTTACCTTCCCCATAAGTGAACATTGTCCAGGTCTACATTGTAGCAGGGGTAGGACCAGGGGCGGACTGACAACTCATGGGGCCCCCCGGGCAATAGGGGATCATGGGGTCCCTGTGGCCTTGCCCACACTCAAAGCACACCCAAAAAGCCTATAAAAGGTACCATGCGCATTTCATGGGGCCCCCTACTGACCCCGGGCCCTCGGGCAGTGCCCGAGTGCTCGAATGGTCAGTTCGCCCCTGGGTAGGACCATGTAACAACCCAACCCACATTTCACCTAAAGGGGTCCCTACTTCCTAAAGGGCCTTTCTGGTTGTAGGCCCAAATGGTTGGTCCACCCGTCTACCCACTCCAAGAGAAATTGTGTTAGTCTTTTCTAGATGACTGCCACTAATGGCTGTCAAATCAGAACTTACTAAATTAGCAACATTTCATGGAAATGGATGTGAGGCTTTTAAGCATATCAACATTTTTTTTTTAGTTTTGGATGGAGTGGTGATAGGTTAGGATTATTGTCAGGACTGGAAGTCAAGGAAAATCCAACATTTTGTTGCTATCATGACACGAATAGATTGGAAATATTCCAATGGGGGGATTTACCTGAGGTTGGAGAGATTTCCATTTACACCCTGAGTTGTGTCTACGTGGGACACATATGGCAAAAGTCTATAACCCTTCCGAACTCTATTCTAAATAAAAAAATTACTTTAGAAATACTATCAGGCATACAAATGATGGGTGTACCAGTATTGTATCTGTAATCATTCAAGAACTTTCTTCTGGAAGGACACCAGCCAAGGTAAACAATGCAAGTAAAAAGAACATTGGGAACTAGAGAAAGTACAGAGAAGGACAACCAAACTGATATAAGGCATTGAAGAGATCAGCTATGAGGAAAGATTAGAGGAACTGAATTTATTCTCTCTTGAGAAGAGGAGATTAAGGGGGGATATGATCAACATGTATAAATACATCAGTGGTCCATATAGTGAACTCGGTGTAGAGCTATTCACCCTGAGGTCATCACAGAGGACAAGGGGGCACTCTTTACGTCTGGAAGAAAAGAAATGTAATCTCCAAACATGGAAAGGTTTCTTCACAGTAAGAGCTGTGAAAATGTGGAATAGACTCCCTCAAGACTTAGTTCTGGCCAGCTCAGTGGATTGCTTTTTAAAAAAGGCCTGGATTCTTTCCTAGATACACAGAATATAACTGGATACTAACATTTATATGTAAAATTGATCCAGGGAATATCCGATTGCCTCTCATGGGATCCAGGAGGATTTTTTTTCCCTGCAGGAACAAATTGGATCATGCTTTGCTGGGATTTTTTGCCTTCCTCTGGATAAACGGTGGATATAGTTTTTTTTTTAATGGTTGAACTGGATGGACTTTTGTCTTTATTCAGCCAGACTAACTATGAAACTATGTAAGAACTGTGGGATGAAGTGTGACCAAGCACTGTGTAGCCCACATTACAAACTGGAGCAAGCACTTTACCAAGCAACCATCTCTATCAAAACATTTAGCTCAATGCTATTCTCAAGCATTGGTTGCCTGTAAGTTTTCTTTCCTGGGTGGACATACATAGCATAATAACAGCAATAAAATCAATTTATCACAGTCAGGTGATTTTAAAGAGTATGTAAGGATAAACAAAGTGCAACAATGATGGCTTCCTGTAGCACCTTTATTTGCACCTAGATATTTTTCCATCAAGACAGAAAGTTTGTATATGATCAGGCAACAATGATTTTTCATGAGAACCATCACTGTTTGTCAGCCAGGGCTTGCAGGAAGAATAAGTCAGGTCTCAAAGCTCCTTGCAGGATGTTTAGTGCTCAGATTGTCCAATGTGTATGTAAGCCCTAACAATAAATTTCATTTATTTATTCCCTTTTGGTCTGTGTAGAATACCATGAAAAATTGTGTTATATCTGTTTGATAAGTGCAAAAAAAAAAAATACTGTTGATCTTGTCAAAATTTCCTGTGCCCTCTGCAGATTTTCTGTGTTATTTCAAAGAGCTCCCCTAATTCTGATCTAGGTAGTTTAGAAAAAGACTGTGAGGTGAATTAACAAAATGTTGTGCAAGCACAATGCTTGCACCACTCTCCTACACATAAAAATGGAGCAGAAGCATAGGGACACAATTAGGTGTGATCAGGGGCGGACTGACAACTCATGGGGCCCCCGAGCAATAGGGGGTCATGGGACCCCTTTGTCCTTGCCCAAACTCAAAAAAAGCCTATAAAAAAAGTACCAGGGGCATCTCATGGGGCCCCCTACTGACTCTGGGCCCTCGGGCAGTGCCTGAGTTTCCAAATGGTCAGTCCACCCCTGGGTGTGATCAGTTCTCAGTTGTTTGGCTGTGACAGATAAAGCACACTGCACAGAGATCGGAGAGCTGGAGCTGCATGCTACCATCTCTCTGCCATCCTCACTTCTCTGCTTGGCTTAGAGTGGCAGGGAGCAGGAGACCTGCAGAGAGAGGATTGTGAGCTGTTTGTTAATAGCTCATATCCAGGGGCGGACTGACAACTCATGGGGCCCCCGGGCAATAGGGGATCTTGGGGCCCCTGTGTCCTTTCCCACACTCCAAAAAGCCTTTGAAAAAGGTACCAGGGGCATTTCATGGGGCCCCTTACTGACCCCTGGCCCTCGGGCAGTGCCCGAGTGCTCGAATGGTCAGTCTGCCCCTGCTCATATCCCATATTACAAGGTCAGACCTGTCAGGAATCTGTGGCAGTTTAATATATGGAAAATGGCAGCATTTCCTTTGTTAATTAGGTGCACACCCTTTGCAAGTTTCTATTTAATTCTTAAAAGATAAGTTAATCTTCTGCACAAAAATAATAAATGCTAATTTTTTTGCAGGTTATAAAAAATGTGCATTTATTATTTTTGGCTGCAGGAGCCTATAAAGCATTGCACCAGCGATCAGCAGATCACTCGTGCCATGCAGGTCTCCTACAGATCTGTCAGTATATCTGCTTGCCCGTACGGGATTTAGGGCAAACAGATCTGTCAGTATATCTGCTTGACCATATGGGATTTAGGGCAAGCAGATATACTGACAGGAAGAATCAATTAACTTCCACAGCACTGTGGTAGTTCATTGAGTACTGCAAGCCGACAGCTGCTAAGGCTGTTGGGACTTGTAGCTCATTAATTCACAGAACACTGTGAATGAATGACGCAGCCCTTTGGGCGGAGCCCCCGCTTTGCCGCGTTGTTTTTAAATACTGACAGCTAGTACGAGGAACTTCTCCCTGTACTTCTGTCACGGGTAGGTAGGGAGCAGTGGGCACTGGCTGCAGCATTGGTAACATACTATATGTGACAGTGTTATTAACAAATATTCCAAAACAAATTGCAATTTTATAAACACCCACTTATTATAAAATAAATCCACTACCAATATAAAGTCCACTCTGGTTTATATGAAAATACGCAAAATGTCCCATCAAATAACTCCAACGGTGTTCAAAATTAGTCCACCTCAAAAAAAAGGAAAACTTATATAGTGCATTAACCTTTATCAAATAGACTTTATCAATACTTCCTCCAGTGAAAAATAAGTGAAAAATTAGTGAAAAAAACGTGAACCACACGTTATCAGTGAAAAACCACTTCAATGTGCATAACACTATTTCAGTGCCACATCACAAGAACTCCAATATAAAAGGGTGTATCCACTTCTAAATGCAGTGAGGATACCCTTACCAACTTCCTAATATAATGGGCTTTGTAGTCATCCAAGGAACACACAGACCGATCCACTCAGGAACCTCTGCTGTATCACGCAGCCACCCCACTTTCTGGATTCCTTAGACGCTTTACTCCCAGTGTCACCAAAAAAACACAGGACATAGTGTGATACCGCCAAACAATATGTAACATACACTTTATTAAAAAACTGCTCACATTGCCAAAGCTTTATAACCGCATTAGAGGGAATACAGAAGAAATAGGAATCTCACGGTCATCCAGGGAGATGCGTCCCGTTGCTCCTGCTCGATCTCTCCCTTATTACAAATGGCCGCCAGGTAACTTCCGGTTTCCGGGAAAAAAACGTCTCGACGTCACTCCACCTTTTGAACACCGTTGGAGTTATTTGATGGGACATTTTGCGTATTTTCATATAAACCAGAGTGGACTTTATATTGGTAGTGGATTTATTTTATAATAAGTGGGTGTTTATAAAATTGCAATTTGTTTTGGAATATTTGTTAATAACACTGTCACATATAGTTTGGTACACCTTCAGGGGAAGGTGTTGTTTGTGTTATAGGGCAACCATAGTAGAGTAGGAGGTGGTTGATATTTAATAGCATTGGTAACATGTTACATGTTCCACCCTAAAAATGGATAGAACATGTAACATGTTCCCAAAGGTGAACCTATCCTTTACATAGAAACTGATGCAGGTGGTACAGATAGACCTGAAACAGGTCTATTTCTTAGGTAATGTGCAGCATGCCACTCCTGACAGTTTCCTGCTCCATTATAATGGTGCA